GTGTAACAATCACGAGAAGGCCCGGGGAACACCCCGAACATCTCAGGAGGGACCAATTTGAGCCGTGAAAACATAACGAATAGGCACGGGGACTGCCGAATTGAAAACTAGGTTGGAGAACACACTTTTCTAACACTTAAGCTTGGAAGTAGGCCATCGGGGTGACAAAATCATGTAACAGTCGCAACAAGGGACGGGAACACCTCAAACACCTCGGGAGTGACAGACGCAAGTTATGAAAGCTTACGGAACTAACACGGGGACTCCCGGTTTGAAAACTAAGTTGGAAAGTGCCACTTTTTCCACGCTTAGGCTTGGAAATAGGACACCGGAGGGAAGGGCCGAAACCGTGTCACAGTCGCAAGAAGGACCGGGAAATGCACCAAACACCTCCGAAGAGTCCAAGGGGTAAGTTGCGGAGACTTACGGAACTAGCACGGGACTCTCGGCTTGAGAACTAAAACAAAAAATGCACTTTTTTCACACTTAAGCTCGAAAATAAGCCGTCGGGGGCCAAAATCGTGTAAAAGTCACGAGAAGACCCGGGGAACACGTCAAACACCCTGGGAGCGACCGATGTAACGGAACTAGCACGGGACTCCCGGTTTGGAAACTAAGTCCGAAACGGCACTTCTCTCGCACCTAAGCTTGAAAATAATCCATCGGGGGGGCCAAAATCAGGTGACAGCCAAGAGAAGGTCCGGGGAACACCTCAAAACACCTAGGGTGGGACCAACGTGAGTTGTGAAAACTTACGGAACTCGCATGGGACTCCCGGTTTGGAAACTAAGTCAAAAAATGCACTTCCTAAACACTTAAGTTTGAAAATAGGGCATCGGGGGCCAAAAAATTCCTGTAACAGTCCCGAGAAGGCCCGTGGAACACCTCCAACACCTCGGGAGAAACCAATGTAAGTTGTGTAAACTAGCGCGGGACTTCCGGTTTGAAAACTACGTCGAAAAATGTACTTTTTTCACACTGAAGCTTGAAAACAGGCCTCGGCGGGCCGGAATCGTGTAAAAATCACGAGAAGGCCCGGGGAACACCCCGAACATCTCAGGAGGGACCAATTTAAGCCGTGAAAACATAACGAACAGGCACGGGGACTCCCGATTTGAAAACTAGGTCGGAAAACACACTTTTCTAACAATTAAGCTTGGAAGTAGGCCATCGGGGGCCAAAATCATGTAACAGTCGCAACAAGGGACGGGAAGACGTCAAACACCTCGGGGGTGACAAACGCAAGTTGTGAAAGCTTACGGAACTAACACGGGGGCTCCCGGTTTGAAAACTAAGTTGGAAAGTGACACTTTTTCCATGCTTAGGCTTGGAAATAGGACACCGGGGGGAAGGGCCGAAACCGTGTCACAGTCGCGAGAAGGACCGGGAAATGCCACAAACACCTCAGGAGGGTCCAAGAGGTAAACTGCGGAGACTTACGGAACTAGAACGGCACACTCGGCTTGAGAACTAAATCAAAAAATGCACTTTTTTCGACAACCAAGAGAAGGTCCGGGGAACACCTCAAAACACCTAGGGAGGGACAAACGTGGGCTGTGGAAACTAACGAAACTCGCATGGGACTCCCGGTTTGGAAACTTAGTCAAAAAATGCACTTCCTAAACACTTAAGTTTGAAAATAGGCAATCGGGGCCCAAGAAAATCCTACAACAGTCCCGAGAAGGCCCGCGGAACACCTCCAACACCTCGGGAGAAACCAATGTAAGTTGTGGAAACTAGCGCGGGACTACTGGTTTGAAAACTAGGTCGGAAAACACACTTTTCTAACACTTAAGCTTGGAAGTAGGCCATCGGGGGGACAAAATCACGTAACAGTCGCAACAAAGGGACGGGAACACCTCAAACACCTCGGGAGAA